ATAATTTCTGACTAATTCGTCCCTCAATCATCAGAAATTACATTTTACTCTGGAACGTTAAAAGTAAGACTTCATCGGTAGGAAGGGAAGGGATAAGTGTTTGTCCCCCGCCCCCTCACCCCCACCCCTGGGCCGGCATGATCAACTACCTCAACCCTTTAACTAGGCCGGAGGAATTTTTCCTTCATCTCTACATTTCGCGTGGTATCAAGCGATCAACCTTTCTCATGCCATGTGTTGTCCATGTGTCTCGGGAGGCTCTGACTTTCGTATCCTAAGTAAAAATACTTATAAGCGGATTTTTAAAATGTTGTCCCGAAACATGTGACGCTTGGAACAATTTTCTTCCGGAAGCAACGTTTCCTCGTTTATAATCTCTCCATATAACGTTAATTCTAGAAGGCAAAAACAATTAACAATTCTGAGTACAGTCGAACCTCCGGTTGCGACCACCTCTCCTCAGCAACCAGTTTTCCAAAATACCAAAAGTTTCCAAGTCAAATCACTATATTTGCAGTCTCTTGTAAGCGACCACCTCTCGTAAGCGACCGCGACCACTTTTAGAGCTAAAAGTTTGAAAATTCCTTTAGTTTTTAACCTCTCGTAAGCGACCACTTGACAGATAATAGAATGAAAATTGGATACTGTAATAGGGTTTTGTAACATTATCGCGAGGACAAGAGATGGAAATTTCTCAATGGGAAAGATCGGATTTTTTTCTTAGGATTGACTTTTCACGTGAATAGAACATTTAAAACATGGGGTAAGTCTCTGCAGTTACAATATGCTAATGAGGCAAAACTTTACCCCAATATGGTTTTAACTCTCGTAAGCGACCACCTCCAGTAAGCGCGTACGGGAGGGTCGACTGTATTTCATGAACCCCCATTGGATTGGTGATAAACAACAAACGAAGCCTGTGGTGCTGAGATTGTCATAATCATGATAATCGTCTCGTTTCCAACAAAAGCTAACGGAATAAAAAAAAAATATAGATAGACTTGATGTTGTGGATGTTTCATTGTCCTTTAAATGAAGGGATGGTTTGAAAAAAGGCGGCAAAAGTGTGCGGCGCGACGTGTGGCGTTGAATGAAACACGAAGAAAGCGAGACTGAGCTTTCTTCCGTTGTGTTCCTCGTACAAAGTCCTTTAAAGTCGCCTATTTTAATTTAACGAACAGATATAAAAAGATAAAAGTCCGAAGTAATAACGTTGCTGACTTTTAAGTGCAGAGGGCAAGTTACTTTTTACGGCTCCACGGTTCCACGACTCCACGACTCCACAAGTTATTTTGAGACGAAACTGCTCAAAAATCGGTCAAGTTCAACGAGATATGAAGAAGCAGGACCTAAATTTAAGGTAAGCTACGCTTAACCAAACCTTACTGCAGTGCCATGCGTAATTTTAAGATTAAATGCCGTGTTCACTTTCGGAAAGAAATTGTATTATCTTCCCCTGAATTCCATGCAGCTTTTCTCCACCCAATTCAGTCGCTTTTGTTTTTATACATTTTATACAGTAAAGCCTTTCAAACCCTGATTGACGTAGTTCAATTAATCAGCGAAATTCTGTGGCGTTTTGTAGGTCCAAGAATTGCGTTTTTTCTTGCATTCTCAAGACAAATCTGCTGAGCAAGTCACTTGTACAGCAGGTTTTTCTTGAGAATGCAAGAAAACCTACAAAACGCCGCAAATATGAATATGATGTCTTCGAATCTGTCGTGTTTCGACATTTTTTCCGCGGACTCATTTTCCATATAAGGTTCATAACGAAGATTAATAGTCTGTTTTCCATATATTAAAATTCCGCTTGGAAATAAGCCGTTAGAGGACACAAACATAGGAACTTGAATGAGCCTGTTTATTCATTTCTCTTGTTTGTGTCTCTAGGTCTAGCTATCAAGCTGAATTTCAACACATCAAAAGTAGCCTAATACCAATGATCAGAAAGCCAGAATCCGAGGTTGAGTCGGTATTTAATAATAACTGATATGTAAAGGTTTAAATGCCTGTTCGGTAGATTACTACACAACATTTATACAGCAGGCTATCTATCATCTGTACAATGCCTTCATAGTTTTTGTAAAAAATTTACATCACACAGCTGCGTATGTGTGAATACCGCTCATCTGTTTGTTACTGGTAGCCGCTTGTAAACAGGTTAAACAAGTGTTTCTTTCTTCTTCGTTTGCACACTAAGCAAAGTTGCCAACAGTTTCCGGCGTTAAATTTCAACTTCAACTTTCAATGGAATTTCAGTCTCAATCAGCCTCACACTGGGCTCAGTCGCTCATTCTTCCGCCAATTCCCAATAGGAGTAGGCAAGGGAAGGTTTAAATGCCCAGACTACTTCGCATTAGGAGTTCACTTCAAGTGAGAACAATCCCGTCTTGAACACAACGACGCATTCTTCATTTCCACGCAGCTGAAGAATACCATTTCATCACGAGCTAACAGCGATGTTGCAATCTTTTAGATAGTCTGCTATGGCATCCAGAATCTCCAGGAGCAGGTCTCGGCTCAGTCTCCTGAGGTTTGGAGATTTTGCAACCTTCAGTGGGAGAGAGAGGACAAGAAACGAGTCAATGGTTTGGCCGCACTCACTCGAGAGACGTCTTTGATTAAACCCGAAAAATTCCATGCTTATGACGTATCTTCGAGATCCGTGTCACATGTGTCTCTGATTGGTGGTTGGTTGCTTGATTGACACTTCACAGACACTACAGATGACACACGGACCTCTGTAGATTGACGCCAATGGTCGGCACGAATCGCTAGAGTTTGGGATGAGAAGCGCGCTGTTTTGCTCATTACTATTTTAGCCATATCGCAATATAGTCGCTTAAATCAAGTCTGTCTTGGTGGCAAATAAGCTCCACTATTATTACTAACTGGAAGAAAGGTACACCGTATTAACTGTTTTGATTTACTCACTCACTCACCCACTCGTGCCCAGTGGCACATCAGACCTCAAGGTTACAGTAACGAGATTTTTTTAACAGGGCAGGNCTCATTACTATTTTAGCCATATCGCAATATAGTCGCTTAAATCAAGTCTGTCTTGGTGGCAAATAAGCTCTACTACTATTACTAACTGGAAGAAAGGTAGACCGTATTAACTGTTTTGATTTACTCACTCACTCACCCACTCACCCACTCGTGCCCAGTGGCACATCAGACCTCAAGGTTACAGTAATGATAATTTTTTTTAACAGGGCAGGGTTGTTAGTCCTGCGCAAAAAAAACCCAACCGGGAGGACTAGGGTAGTGTCTAGTCAGGCCCCTCTCCAACTGTTTTGATTACCTTTACAAAATGGCCGACAACAAGATCCAGAGCATGTTTCTTCATGTCCGAGGCTCCAATCCTGTGAGCAGCTTCAAGAATCTGACAAAACAGGTAAAGAAAAGTAAAGTATGTTTCTCAGCCTAAGCGAAACCGTTTCACAAATGTCTTGTAATCTTTGCCATTGACTCTGATCTTCACGCGAAACATTTTTCTAAAGATGTCCGTATTCATTACTAGAAGCACGTAACATAATAGCATGCTGCAGTCATTACTTAATTGTACGAGCAATAATTGTTTTCTTACCTCGACTACATTTTCAAATGACACGTTCATTTCCAGGTTCTGTTTACAGAAAGCCTACAGGAAGAATAAGAGTTAGTGGGGAGTATAAACAATTTACCGATGACTCATTGAAGCCAAAGAAAGGTCTAAATTCCGGCCAAAAGGAATCACGTGTGATCCTGCGTTCTAATTGATTACATTTGGCTAAACACGTATCAATCAGAGCCAAATATGCTGTTTTCAAGTAATATATCAAACACGAGAGACAGTGTTTCATCGGGTTATCCAAACACCGAGAAGAGAGTTGAAAATACGACGCGCAGCTGAGTATTTTTGACGAAATTCGAGGTGATTGGATAGCCGATGAAACACTGTCCCGATTGTTTGATATATCTTCTCAATCGAAACAAAAACTAGGAAGTAAACGGAGAAGTAAAATCGTCGAAATCTATGCTAATTAAGACCGGGTATCCAAACCTCCTTCACGGTTGTGATTTTCTTTGTTTTAACTTGATGAATTCCTGATGAGTTTGAGAAATAAGTGGCGTAAAACCAAAACCAAAGTTATCACTCCAGCCAATCACAAAGGACACAGACAATAAGGTGAACCAATCAAAACTTGAAGTAATTACATGCAGCTGACGCAAGGCGCGGGAAAACGAGTGCGAGCGATTAATGATTGGGTTTAGTTTTACTTCTGATTGGATGAAAAAGTGGCGCGAGGTTTTTAAGCCGATCGTNGCCTGCAGAGAAAACAAAAAACAGTCAATTCCTGACTCATTTACAACAATTTTAGAACGTACATGAAACAAGTTAAGGCATTCTGCCATCTGAAGAGCAGATTTTTTACAGTCTTAATATGTGTCTGTTGAGAGCACTCCACTTAAGAAATAGAACACATGCACCGTGTTTCTAGCGAGTTTAAGTATAAATCTACTAGCGTTCTATCACGAGTGCCGTTCTCTTATTTGCTACGCTACTCACTGTCTATTCTGTTGTAGATAGTGAGTAGCGTGGCAGTGAGCGCTTGCTAACAAACTGGCAGCCTGCTTCCTTGAGTGTCTGTTATGAAGATTTAGATTAAAGTTTTGAACGACTAGTAAATTAATGCTAAAACAATTAGATTATTTCCTCTCGATTTCTATGCGTGATAGTTATCCTTACCCTTCCCTACATCTTAGCCAGTTAGTTTCCTTCGCAGCTATTATCAACCCCTACTCCCCCAACCCCTGTTCCCGCGAATTTCGCAGACTATCAACTCTCAGACAAGAATCCTGACGAAACGTACTTTGTGCGCTCCTATTGGTTCTCCGTCCACAATCAGCGTGATGTCATGGAAGTCCTGGCCGCGCGCGCCCTGGAGGAAGTCCAGCATGTCTTGCTGCAGGGTCTTCTCTACAAAGTACAAATACACGCGCGATGAGTGAATTAAGAAAATCAGCCATGGTAAAGCTTCCACAATTCGAAAGGTGATTTGTTTTAGTGTACCTGGATGCGTAGATCTGCACTGGTTGTCTCCTGGATTATGAGCACTCGCCTGAAAAGCAAAGAAAGTATTAATACCACATTTAATTTAAAGATTTACACAAATTTTCGCAGAAACCAAGTACTTTGTCGGGGTTGCCACAGGTCAGGAAATGGTCAGGGGAAAAAAATCTTCAAGGTCAGGGAAAAGTCAGGGAATTTTATTTAGAGTCAGCAAAAATTGACATTTTGAAGAAAAGTCAAGGAAAATTGAAATCATTTAACACGGCTGATTTAACACCATTGAAGGCTGGAAGAAACATTTGGGGTCACTGTAATCACAACGATATTTTTCCTTAACAAAGAAGGAAAATTTATTCTCAAATAATTCATCAAGTTTAAACAAAGGAAATCGTGACCATGACGGTGTTTTGGATATCTGATCTTAATTAGTATTGATTTTTGCAATTTTATTTCTTCATTTTCTTCTTAGTTTTAGTTTCGATTGAGAAGATATATCAAACACTCAAGACAGTGTTTGACCACAATTCCAAACACCTCGAAGTTCGTCAAAAATATTCCGCCGCGCGTCGTATTTTCAACTCTCTTCTCGGTGTTTGGAAATGTGGTCAAACACGGTCTTTCGTATTTGATATATTACTTGAAAACTTACCAGTCTTATTGAACGAGTGGAAAGGACGGCTATAAGTTCAAGCCAGAAGCCGCTACTAAATCTAGATTTTGTAGCTATTTGGTTAGGGAAATTATATTTTTATCAGGGAAAACTCAGGGAATTTTGATGAGTGATGTCTGTGGTATGACTGTTTTCCGCAATTTATCACATGTACCTGTGGGACTTGTCGTCTTCTGATGATCTCCACCATGAGTTTTTGTGGCACAGACTCAAAGTTCTTGCTCATGATGATGTTGTTGTAGTTTGCTTCACGGACAATAAAACGAAGACAGAAATCCTGTAGATAACGGAAACACACAAGGAATCGTTACTCAGTCCGTGGAGACAATAGCGCTTAGACAAACCCATCGCATGCAACCTCACTAGCATTTTGGTCAGGTTTCCCAGAAAATTCAACGATACCCATTCATAAACCGACGAGGAGAGTAATGACCAGGGGCCTGTTTCTCAAAAGCCCCGGAAACCTTTCGGGCCCGAGAAGCCATTTTTAGTTAATCTGTATCTAAAACAGAAAGGTGTATACGCCTGAAACTTCTTGTATGAAGGGAACTGCTGGTCATATTAAGAATATGTAAATAAAACAGCTCTGTAATTATAAGGTTTGAGATTTTGCTACGGCTTTCCGGGTGCGAAAACTTTTCGGGACCTTCGAAAAACGGGCCCCTGGCCCCCAACCAGGATGACTCCACCCGAAGTCCAGCGCACTAATTATTACTCCACCGCGCCTCCATTGATCATCTGGCAAGAAAAAGTAGAATTTCCCAGTGGGAAGTTGATCACGAAGACAGTACGAGCCAAAACCAAATTGAAGGCGAGGTATGACTCAAGCTTTACCCTGGTTATAGCCCGTGAACAGGCTCTCTAGTCGAGTATGGGGCGAAGAGAAAGCGGGAAGAAGAAAGAGGATAGAACTGAGAGAGAGAGGAAGGTAACCCAACACCCACCCCATTCCTCCCTCGGCCACTTCACTCTCACCCAGTTCCTTCCCGACCCTTCCAGCTGCGGTCATACCATTCCAACCGGAGCCTGTTCACAGGTTATTTATTAGACTCCGGCGCGCTTTGTAGCTCATGTGATTTTACCCCGTGGTCTTTGAGATTCACGACGAACAAGCAAAGCTGTCAAACCTTTAGTGGATCCAGTTGTAGCCGCGCGGCGCTATCCAGTGCCACTAAGACGTTTTCTTGACAAATTGAAGACTCGATGTACTGAACACACAGCGCTTCCAGTGAACCAATCTCAAGCTGTAAAAGGCAAAAACACATAGTTCAGGATTTATTTGGTTATCTTCATCTACTCGACCATTCTGATAATGCGTAAGTTAGATTTCTTGTTTTCCTTCCACTGGATGAATTCAAAATTTCATAAAATGCGAGCCTTTCTCTGACTTTCTACATATTTCAATATATTTCCATTCTCACCTTCGTTGTTTTTGTTGTTGTTGTCCTAACTTGCTAAACACTTTCTGTCATTTGTTGTTTTCCAAAAATATTTTCACTATGTTTTCTATGCTCTAAGTATGTTCTGATCTTTTCAAAACCACCAATGCTAAATAAAGTTGGCACAGTCATTGTACAAACGATTTTACCTTGAGCGCCAACCTGTAAACATCCATGATTAGACTGATCTCCTGTAAACCCTGACAATCTGTTTGAAAAATAATACTGTTTTGTACAGCGCTCTTTACTGGTTCGTTCACACTGTTCGGAGTGGGAGAAATGCGCTGCATTAAAAGGAGTTAGGTCAGGCTGTTTCAGAACATTTTGCGTTTTCTTTGACCCAAAAATCACAACACACCTAAAACTATAGTAAACAAACGAAACACTTGATAATAAGTCTTTTACATGTATAGAAGAACAAAACGGAGCACTACTGAGACAGACTGTCTGAAAATGTCCTGTTAAAAGAGACCTTTCTATTGCGTAGTCAAAACCAACTCCGATCCAGTGAAACAGACAGAGAGCAGAAAAAATTCTTCATCCAGGAAGCACGTTGTCTAGTTGGTTGTTGCTTGTTTTTACGCGCAAGATTAACAACCAATGAGGAACGCTAAACGGACATCACCCACAGCGCAATGTCATTTTCGTCGTGAATTTCAGTCGACTTTCTCTCTTCGTAACGTTTGCGCATAAGACGCAAACATTTTCTAGAGATTTCACACAACGATGGAATGACAAATGCTCACCTTTCACCAAGGGGAATATACAGTCTGTATACATGTAGCGAAGTGCGACTGCGAAAGACTGGACTTCAGCTTCGGGCAGCTTCACTTGCAGTTTCTCCTTGACCTGATTCTGTTGTCTGTCTTCAATTGGTCTCTGAGGGTGCACACAATTAAAATTAGAAACTCTAGGATGTTTCAAGAGTTACTAGAAAACTACGATGGAAGAAATGCAAAAAGCTAGTAATGCCCGCAGTGAACGCGACGGAGAATATTAGAGGGAGTGTTTCATTTTCAGTTATCTTGCACTCACAAATCTTTTTGTGAAAAGTCGTTCGAACTGATTCATGCTAACTTGATCCTGATTGTCACTAGACTGGAGATTCGATCAGAGACATTTTTTTTCGAGAGTACACCTTTGATGAACCAGGTTCTCCCACAAGCTCGTAGATGGAAAAGTCGCAAACTTAAGTGATTGTCTTCAGATCCTCCAACAAAATCGTAATCACCTCTCTCTGTTCTTCTTTGGCACTAAACAAGAAAACCGAAGGGACACAACCTGCATTTATAAAGCGTAAGTGTACAGGAGATTGAACTAGATACTTCCATACGGGAAAAGATGAGGAATCAGGCAGAGGTGCAAAGGATGGCCCTGACATTTCTCTTGGCTGTCAAAGATGAGCATTATTTTCGACTGCGTACAAAACTCTCCTGTCTTGAAGATTTCGCATTATCTACTACACTCTAAAACAGTTTAAAGAACGATTGTCTAACCTGTGATGATCTTTCACGTGCTCGCAACAACTGTGTTCTCAACCAAGGCGACCTGGCCGCAACAAAGGCCGCGTGAGACGGGAATCGAGTTTCTTCCTGCAAGTACATAACAACCATGGTCACACATTGACAGACGGTTTAGCACAAGAGAATACGTGTTGAAAACCCGGCGAGAGTCGCGAGCGGTAGTGTGACTGCCGCTGGACAACGTTTTTGTTGATTCTAAACCAAGCTGGTGTGCGTTCTTCTCCGTTACGCAGCCACATAATAATTTTAAAAAAAAAATCAGAATGCACACATGTAGAACTGTAGAACTACTACGTTGCACGGGACTAGAATTAATATTAGATTAGTAGCACCACCATTTCACTTACTTCACCCACAAGGAAAACCATGTCACAGAACTGTTTGCTGTCCAGTAAGCGACCAAAATCACCTCTGAGTGTGCACCGAGGATAACTTGCCAACTGTACAAAAAGTCAAAGTCAGCTTCCACGTACAAATTCTCCCTTTACTGGGCTCCATACCCTTTCTACAGCACTAGTTATAAGAAATTAGATGATGGTCACTTCTGGTCCTAAATTACAACGATTTTATTAAGTGTAGATGTTTGTGTGAAGCCACATTGATAGATTTAATTATAAGTACTTGGGTCAAGCAAACTGTTTTTTTTTTATATATAATTATAGCCTTATGAGCAGATTGCTGCATGCAAGCTCTCAGAATTTGGTGGAGGATGTGAAATAACTGATTCAGTAAGTTCGTGTTCTATTGGGATCAACCGTTTTCAACCGACACCGGTTTGGGCTGATGGGGTTGGCATTTCTCAATAGGACACTTTTCCAATCGTTTTCGGTTGAACGCGGTACCACCTAGAAGTGACAACTTATTTTGAAAATTGAAATACACGTGATCATCACTCCTTGTAAGTGTAGTGTAGTTTTACCTGAAATCTGTACAGTTCACTGCTTCGTACATTGTTATCAACAGTTCCGCCAAATATGTACATTTCGTTGTTAATAACATCTACGTCATGAAAAAGGCGTCCTGATGGAACCTGCGGAGAAATAACACACAGAAGTGCAAAATTCATCGCCAAAATGAAGTTCACAACTTTAGAATATTGTTTGATGAACAAACTACGAACAACGTTATTTAGACTGCGATCCAAATACCTTACCTCACTATCTTGTGCTGGCTGAACAACTTCCCATGATTTGTCGTCAAGAGAGAACCTCAAAAAAGCGGGAACAGTGAATACGTTAACTTTGTAGCGCTGTAACACACCGGTGTCAGAATAAGCAAGCAAGTTTTATTCGAGAGTTACGGTCACACGAGTGAAAGAAATGTCTCCAGCCAGATTCAATGTGAACATGAATATGACAAGTGCAGATTTGGAAACGACTTTCAAGACGAGGTTCTTGTTGCTTCCGCAACAACAAAGTCCTCAGATCTGTAATGTTCAGTAACTAATTTCAGCTAGTGAATCTGAAGAGACCAAGCTGCTTCAGACTCTTTTTCCGTATCGTCTTCGCTCGCTAAAAGTTTGAATTCTTATCAAGGTTTCGACAACTTTGTTAGATTTCCAAATTTCGCAGCCAATCAAGGTACAACAACCACGCCGACACGTACATGTTTCTAGCATGTTTGTTCCACAGACTAACTTGGTTTGGATGACCACACAAAGGCAAGCCCAACAACTACATGTAATAAAAAACAAATCTAACAGCAAAGCGGATTGGTGCATTTTAGAAAGTTTGAGAGGGAACAAAGAAAACCTCTACAAGTCACTTTTTTGAGCATCATTTCGCTAGTAAACCCTATATGACATGCCCCCTAACGCCTTCGCGAAGCTTGACACACTCTATACAGTTATGTAAGAAATGTTATGGGTAATGCAATCCTAACGTCTTTTTTTGTTTCTTTTTCGTCCTTTTCAGTTGGATTAATTGTGGTAAATTTCAAACGTCGTGATGGGAAGACCAAAATTAATAAAACTAAATTGACTCTACCTGTAGAGATCCGACGGTAAAGTGTTATCTGCTACTCCACCAAACACGTACAAATACCGATCAAACGCCACCATGCTGTGACCATAACGCCGCTGAGGGGGCGCGGGCGAACCACGCAACAAATGCGCTGACGGAATACGAGTCCATCTGGTGAAAAAACAGGCACGCAACGCGTGCATGAGGTGTCAACCTGACTTTGAAGTGTTTAGTCAAGTGCACCTACCTACAGTAAGTGCAATTACTGCACATACCCGGGGAAAATAAGCTTGCCCTCAACCGCTGAGCGAAGAACAAAAACTTACAAAAGACAGTGGTGTAGATCACCCCTAAATGCACCTTGCAAGTTAACAGTCTGGTTCTAATTCCACTTTGAAAAAAAGAATCACAGTAATCTCCATCTCTTGATCTTTCTCTCTTGCTTTACTCTAATCCCTTACTACTATTTGCTTTTCAAAGAGTGCTGCAAAGAAAAATGCCAGTTTAGGAAGCTAAAGTTTATGTGGAAAAGCATTGTAAACCTACAATGCAAAAATTAATATGTCAGCATTTATTCTGCGGTTGACAATCATAAACAGCTGTTTTAAAACTTATGTCTTCTCAGTTAGGTTATCAGTTCTTAGCCAGTTCCAAGTAAACAGCTACACGGCAGTTCCTAAAATAAAGTTTGTCATTTTCACCTTTGGTCCAGAAAATTGAACTCAAACATGTCATTAGTGATCTTGGCTCCACTTTGTCCAGAGAATACAAACATGCTGTCCCTAACCACAGCAACAGGAAAGTTACAGCATGTAGGAGGTCTATCACCTGACTGCTGAACCTGACAAACACAGATGATTATTGTTAGTAGAATTCTACTAGTATACTAATGCAAATGCTGCAATCTGATTGGCTGAGCAACTCGTATAACTATCAGCCATTAGAGTGCAGTAGCTGTCGGTCGTCCACGAAATGCGACGTTTTTATTGTTTTTCCGAACTTTTGGAAGAAAGTTTAGATTAAATGGGTAATTATATTCCTGAGAAGACAAAAAGAAGGACATAAACGGGTTCTTGACTTTAAAAACTTGAAATTATTGAAAAAACCAGTGCACGCGTGTAAACAACTGCAAATTTACCAAGGACAATTCAGTATGTGCGATGCTGTTACAGCGTAAAGTTCAATGATGCGTCAAAAAATATTTGGAAACCATTATCTATGTTAATTTAAGTTAGAATCTTAATAATTAACAATTAGATTATGAGCTCTCGATTTCTACGAGGTGATAGTTGATTCGGCCTTTGGCCTCATCAACTATCACCTCATAGAAATCGAGAGCTCATAATCTTATTGTTAATTATAAGACAACCTTGACCACTACTATATTGTTACGTGAATAAGTCTTCATGATGACAAGTTGCGTTATGGTACCAGTGTGCCAAAAGGGAGGCTAGGTTAGGTTATCCACTCCCAGCTACTGAGCAGCACTTTCATGTGACACTGTTAATCAGGCTATACAAGATTTAAGTTTATTTTTTAAATGTAGGCCATATGGGACAAAGTGTGATGCTGTTTGTTACAAAGAATGCACAATGTTGAAGGTTGGTTGAAAGTTATAAATCTACACAAACAAAAAAATTATTTACCTCTTGCCATCGTGGGTTGGGGTCTGTCAAGCAAATGGTCCAAAGATCGTCCAACCTACAACAGAAATGTACCATTTTGTGGCTGTTTCCTTGTATCTAGTTCTGCAGTTAGAAGTTTTCTGACTTTAAGAAAAGACATGTATGTTGTCACTTGGCCAGGTATTGTAAACTGATGCTTATCAGCCCTGGGCTTATCAACAGAGGGACTTATATCCAGGGAGGCTTATAGGCAAAATAAAGAAAACCAATTCGAAATGAGCTAAAGCATTGCTGATTGAAATACAATTTTCACACTTCTAACAGTGGTTTTTTTATTATAATAATTAAGGTTTAAAACATCATAATGAATCAAATTCATTTCACTTTAAACTGGCGGGGGGGGGGGGGGTTAAATCATGGGGAGCTTATAGTGGAAAGTAATGTTTTGTTTACAGTTAGATGGGCTTATAAGCAGGAGGGCTTAGTTTATGTTATATGCATGAACACGTACGTACCTTTTGTTACCATCATAGCCAGCAAAGATCCACAAGTTGTTCTTGTAAATTGCTGCACCATGGGCAGATCTTGCAGGAGGCAATCTACATGCAAAAAGAAGGAATTATCGCATGGACATTAAACTGCAGATCTTTTCTTTTAAACGTTTAGTTACCTACTGAGCTTTTAAAATTAATAATGGTAATAGGACTGAGTGGAGTCTAATACGGTTTGTAATCATATGAGTGATTAACAAAATCGGACAGCCGCGAAGCGGGAGTCCGATTTGTTAATCACGAGTATGATTACAGACTGAATTGGATGACATGATGTCAAAACTATGACAAAATTCACGAAACGAACAAACCATCGATTGAGCACTGAACAATTTTAAAACGTTGTTATGAATGCTGAAAAACCCAGCAGTTTACTCAACAAAGTGCACCGCAACAGCGCACGCAAAATGACGCGTACTGTCCAATTACAAGCATGACGCGTACACTGTCCAATTAGTGCTCAAATCGGGCTGCTGAAAGCCAGTCACATTCGAAAATTTTGTTATAGTTTTGATTAATCAAATAAACTGAGCAAAACGTTTATGAATTTGGAGATAAACTTAATAAAAATATATTAAGACATAAGAATTCATGTACATGTAACATTTGAAAGCTGATCATAACTCAAACATTGGTCAATTTCAATAACAGATCTGCAGTCAAGAACTGCCAAAGGGTTTATAAAAGACAAAAAATACACAAAAACTCTGCTATTAAAGCCTCAGCGTTTTAGATTTCTCTGAAATGATAACAGTGCAAGTAGAAATCTGGTATGGCATGCATCACTGTAAATATAACTCTAATATCATAATAGTTACTCTGAGGATCAGTCAGTGAGAATCAGAAAATATCGGCAAACCTTCCTTCCATCCGCCACTCGGTCCACTGTCCAGTGTTGAACTTGTATTCAAACAAGTCATTCTTGTTTTGAAGGTTAGAGTTTGAGTAAAGATCACCTGTAGACAAAATTGTATCAAATAATAAATCGATATTACTCAACACTCCTGTAAGTGATTGAAGAAACAAGTACATGTACTTGAAGGTCAGTGAGTCAATGTTTACGTCCATGTCACTGGCATATCAAGAGGTCAAATTAAAAACGTAAATGGAAACAAGCCAGAGAAGCGTTAACTATACCAGTGAATCCTCCAAACACCAGCATGTTGGATCCAAAGATGACAGCTGAGTGGTGATACCGAGGAGCAGGTGGGGCACCTTTGGTTACAGCTCTGAAAAATTGAGACAGGTTATCATTTCTATGCACACACTGTATATGATGCACTGTGGACACACAGTACTATCTGTAGATATCGGTATTTTAATTTTCACAA